TAACCCATGGCGCATTCAACGCACATAGCTGTGCATTTATTGACCTTATTCTCCGCAGACGAGCGGGCGCTGCCATTTGAATCTTTTTGGCCAGAGACTTCCGGTCTCATTCACTTCCATTCATTTTTAGACATTAAAAACTGCTCGTTTCGCTGTTTGATGTTGCAAACTGATATTTCCTTGTTATATTATTCTACTTGGTCTGTATAGTCATGCAAACATTTGTTTGTAGAGCAAGTAGTTTGACCGTTTTTTGCAGTTTATTATTCCTTGTCATTTCTCCCATAGGCGACTGAAACGGAAGCTCTAAGACAATCGCGAAAACAGGCGCACTTCTGCATTTTAGAATAAGGTCAATACTTCTGCGCGCTGTCTCTGTTGGTCTGCATTAACACTTCCGAAACGCTAGTGGGCAGTGAGGTGTAAATGTTCCTCTGTGTCGAGTTTCTTCACTGCTGTTTTGTTTTCATACTTCCGGGATGTACAAGTGGCTCAAACTCGCTCATTTTGAGGCAGAAACCGGCGGACGTTCAACAACTTTAACTAAGAGGTAAACACAAAACAAAACTTTCTATCCGGAGCTCCTTCACGGTGCTCCACACTTGTAAACAATCGCTCCATCAGGCTCGCACCTTTCACACGGCTCTCGGTCCCGCCCAGACTCGTCAGCGCTACCAAACCGACCAATCACAGAGCTTGCGCTAAGCGTCATTGCAACGTGTAGTTCCAGTTTTTGAGAGGTGCACGTCAGCGATGCCGACGGCCATGGCAAAGGGCTATGCGTCAGCGCCGTAGCATACGCAGGCGTTTGACGCAGAAGTATAAATTAGCCTTAAGTGATGTTTTATAAACAAATTTCGGAAGGAGCAGTCTTTGACGAGACTAATTCATCACACACACAATCATTCTATTATCCAATCAGCTCAAGAGCAAACCCCTATAAATAGTCAAACTTGTCATACCTCCGTTTTCTCTCGACTTCAGCGTCCCTCCACCACCCCAACTCCACTCTGTTAAACCAGATACCTATTTAATTCTGAGGGGGGAGCGTTCTGGAGCCAGGCTAGAAACTGTGCTCGGACCCTATCTCTCTTTATCCTGATAAGGGGAATAACACGAGTTAGGGTGTCTTCCCGAGCTCAGAGCCCTCTCCCCGGTCAGCACGCCAAATACGCATGTTCTATTCAGTCAAATATTCAGAGTGTAAACTCGTGAAATAACGAAAGAGTCTTGACATCATTTGTCATAGAAATATGACGCATGATGAATGGAACGTTTTCAATAATGAAATAAGATGTGTGTCTTGAGCATGAAATTATATCATGTATTTCTGATGAACTGTGAAGCTAAAGCTTGGAGAAATAATGCTAAAAAAATTCAGCTTATGACACAGGAACAAATAACATGATTTAACACGTTTTAACTGAGAGAATATGAACAGAGAGGACTAACTTTAAAGACTTTTAAATAAATCTAATCGCTAAATTGTGAGTTTTATTTATTATTTAGAATTTTTTATTAAATTAAACAAGGTGGCTCAGTGGGTAGCGCTGTCGCCTCACAGCAAGAAGGTTGCTGGTTCGAACCTCGGCTGGGTCAGTTGGCATTTCTGTGTGGAGTTTGCATGTTCTCCCTGTGTTGGCATAGGTTTCCTCTGGATGCTCCGTTTTCACCCACAAGTCCAAACACATGTGCTACAGGTGAATTGAATGAACTATGTGAGAGTGTGTGGGTGTTTCCCAGTACTGGGTTGCGGCTGGAAGGGCATCCGCTGTATAACACATATGATGGAATAGTTGGCAATTCATTCTGCTGTGGCGACCTCTGATAATAAGATAATAAGGGACTAAGCTGAAGGGAAATGAATGAATGAGGTTTCGTTTAATTTGGTTTAGTTTAGTTTTTGTTGCCTTTATTTATTTATTTTTTTGCTTAGCTTAGTTTGCTTTGCTTTTCGTTCGTTTTCTTTCTGCCACAGTGGAATGAACCGCCAACTTATCCAGCAAGTTTTTACGCAGCGGATACCTTCCGGCCGCAACCCATCTCTGGGAAATGCTTTGCTTTTATGCAAAGTTTTTTTTATTTTTATTTTTTTTATTTAACATGCCTAATACCCCCCTCTGACTCTAAATAATCCAATATATACTCTCATTCACTTATTAGAACAGTAACGTTACACTGAGATCAAATTTGAGAAGCTGTGAACCGATAATACTGCGCATGCGTGATTCAGTGAACCAAACACAAACAGTACATGACAGCCTGCTGTGACTCAACTAAACTTGAACAACTGCACAGCGGGTAAACCGAGAACTTAAATGAGAGGATCTGGTGAAGAAACATAAGTTTATTTCATAACAGAAAATCGAAATGGAATTTAGTAAGTGCATAAAAAAATCTAAATATTGAGATAATCGCCTTTAAAAATGTCTAAATAAAATGTTTAGCAATGCATATTAACAATCAAAAATTGAGTTTTAATAGGCTTAACTAGGCTAATTAGGTTAACTAGGCAGGTCAGGGTAATTAGGCAAGTTATTGTATAATGATGGTTTGTTCTGTAGACTATCGAGAAAAAAAAATTGCTGTAAGGGGCTGATAATTTTGTCCTTAAAATGGTTAAAAAAATTAAAAACTGCTTTTATTCTAGCCGAAAAAAAAAAATAAGACTTTCTCCAGAAGAAAATATATTATCAGACATACTGTGAAAATCTCCTTGCTCTGGTAAACATCATTTTGGAAATATATATATATATATATATAAAAAAGTCAAATGGGGGCTAATAATTCTGCCTTCAACTCTATGTTCAAAGGAAAATTGAAAAAAATGCCTTCATGGATCATGAATTTTACTTAATATTCTGAATAAAATGTTAACCCATATACTGTAAAAAGTGATTAGTCCACTTTATTTTAAAAAGTGAGTAAAGATTTGCATAATTATAAAAATTTTGTTAACTTAACACTTCCAAATTACAGCAGGTTTACTTCATTTTAAGTCAACTCTTCAACATAGGCTCATTCTGAAAATGTACCCCTTTATACATTTCTGGAGATCACGAATTATGTAGCCAGAGGAACGTATGGCTGCATCTCTCCTTTCTAACGAACGCTATGGGCCGTTATGACGCCTTTCCTTTTAGCGCTTACCAGCTGACCGATTACCTCCATTTGGACGGCTTTTCCACCGTTACTAGTTTGTCTAGTGGCTCATGAATGTCAGTGCACTTGAGACGCAGAGAGGAGTTGATCATGACGACGGGGTCCGGCGAATAACCGTTCCAGAAAGTAGATAAAACCGAAGGCAAAAAATAAAATAAACAAGTAAATAACAGGGTGAGCGACGCAGTGGCTCAGTAGGTAGTGCTGTCGCCTCATAACAAGAAGGTCGTTGGTTCGAATCTTGGCTCAGTTGGCGTTTCTGTGTGGAGTTTGCATGTTCACCCTGCGTTTGCGTGGGTTTCCTCCGGGTGCTCTGGTTTCCCCGACAGTCCAAAGACACAGGTGAATTGGGTAGGCTAAATTGTCCGTAGTGTATGAGTGTGTGTGTGTATGTGTGTGGAGGTTTCCCAGAGATGAGTTGCGGCTGGAAGGGCATCCGCTGCGTAAAAATGTGCTGGAAAAGTTGGTGGTTAACTCCGCTGTGGCGACCCCAGATTAATAAAGGGACTAAGCTGACAAGAAAATGAAGAAATAACAGGGTGAGAATGTGGTAAAATCTGAAAACATGTTAAAAAATCAGACGAGGGCTTTTCTTTTTCTGGATTGTTTTTTAAATCTGTCGGTTGGGTTTTGGAAAGTGGGTGGGCGCTGAACAATTGGTGCTTTTGAAAAAACTATCAGTTGGGTGTAGGGAAGGAGGAGGGTGGGTCAGTCGGTCAATTGTTTAGTCAGTTGACAGCAGCCTCTGGTGCATTTACACAAGAAAAGCAGTTGTGAATGACACTCGCGAAAGAAGTTTAAGATCTAAAAAGCAGACACAGCGGCCTCTGGCAGATTCGTGAAAACAAACTGCAAAAAAACATAGCTCCTGTGTTCGATAAAAAATAGACTGTGGAATGTATTTTTAACAGAAATATTCTGTAAACTGAATTTACGAATGTAAAATGTTAAAAACAGTAGATTACTAGCAACCACCGCTGCTGGTATTTTTCCGTAAAATCAAGAAAGGAAAAAAAAACAGCAAAACGTTTTTTGTATCACCATTGTGGAGGATAGTAGCGTCTGTGTTGAAGTCCAAGATGAACTGAGAGTATTTGAGGTTGTACTGCATCTTCTTTTGTTTAAAGGTAACTATGTAGTTGCTAATGCAGTGAAAATCTGTTTGTTAACTGCAATCACACATGAACACATTATTGCATCTAATGACTTTACATTTTTGTGCACTAAGCTATGATTTTGTAAACTGATCATTGGATCAGTTCTTGAAATATAGTTATTTTTCACAAATTTATACAGTTCTAAAAAACTTCCATATTTTTTTTTACAGAAAGCTTATGGCAACCACAGCTGCTGGTATTTTTTCGTAAATTTAACAGATATTTTACATTATAAGAGTTTGCTAATTAACACTGTACTAGTGTTGATAATATTAACACTTCCAAAAGTGTTATTTTTAACACTTTTATAGTGGTTCCCATATAAATTCTGAGGTAGTGTTAATTTTAACTCTAAGGTAGTTAAATCTACTATCTAAAATTTGCATTGTGGGATATATTTGGCGCTCTCCAGAAATGTATATAGGGGTACATTTTCAGAATGTGCCTGGGTTGCAACTTTTCAAGGCAATTGGTTTGCTCCCTTTAATAACTAATGACTTTTTACAGCGTACAGTGCATTTTTGCCCATTTTCAGTTTCGTTTTCGGTCAATTGCATTTAAAACTTTCGGCTTCGGCCCAGATTTTTAATGTTAGTATATTCCAGTAAACATTCCAATTTGTTCTCCATCTTGAATACATTGAAAGCCTTATTTTGCATTTATGTCTTCCTGTTGTTGCAGGTAATCAAAGTGTACAGTGAAGATAACACCAGCCGAGCCGTGGAGGTGCCCAGTGACATCACTGCCCGGGACATATGCCAGCTGTTCATCCTGAAAAACCACTGCGTCGATGACCACAGCTGGACTCTGTTTGAGCAGATCCCACATCTCAGTATTGGTGAGTCAATAAGCACATCAGCTAGAAAAAACGCTGCAAAAAAGTGTCAAGCTGAGTGACTTTTTTTTTTTTTTTGCTTTTTTTTTTTTACATTTATTTATTTATTTATATGCATGCATTTATTTATTGTTTTATATTTTTTATTATTGGTTTATATTTATACTCTATATGTTTATACTTAAAAAACTTTTATTATTTTTTATTTTATTAATTTATTTTTATAAGTGTATTTTTATTTTACGTATGCATGCATTTTTACGTTATGTATGCATGTGTTTTTTATTTCTATTTTATGTTTTCATTATTTATTATCTTAAATGTATTTATTTATATTTTTATTTTATGTATTTATTTACACAAATAATATTAGTTATGTTTAGTTGTTCATTTAAATACATAGATAAATAAAATAAAGTAACAAACAATTATTTATTTGTTTATTTATGCATGTATTTATTCATTTATTTCTGTTTAAATATTTTTAAATGTGTATTTTAGTCATTTTTTGTTTTTATTATTGTTTTTAATTTATTCTTTTATTCATTTTTAATTAATTCATTTATTTATTTATTCATTTAACAATGTGTTTTATGATGTATAGAGTTTGCATGTTTTAATTTCGTTATTTATATGCATGTTTTATTTTATTTTATGTTTATACTTTTACACTTTAAAATACTTTTATTAATTTTATTCTATTAGTTTTATCAATGTATTTTTAGGTATGCATGTATTTATTTTTTCTTTTTATTTTACGTTGTCATTATTATCTTAAATTTGTTTATTTATGTTTGTATAAATTTATATTCATTATTTATATTCCTTCTTTTTGTCTATCTTTATTATTAATTTATTTATTTGCGAATTGTTGTGCATGAAGGTATCAATAGAAATTAGACCACAACATCTTAGACCACAAGATCTTAGCACAACATCAAAGCTACACACACACACACACACACACACACACACACACACACACACACACACACACACACACACACACACACACACACACACACACACACACACACTTCCTTCTGTGAACTGTTAGCTTTTTAAAAAAATAAAAGAAATACTACATCACAATCAATCGGCAGACTCTTTAATCCAAAAAACTTACAAATAAGGACAATAAATTACCTGAGATGCCTTAAAGAACACAGGTAAACCCTATAAGTAAAGTCATACGTTTTATTACTCCAGAGAGTCTGGCATATGTATTTTCTGCATAAGGGCGCTATCTGGTGCTGTGTATGATTGAAACCAAATGCATGTAATAATTTGACACTCCATAATCATACTGGCACTGAGTTATCATGTCTCTTTTACTTTACCATGAAACCATCAATTCTGCAGAAACCTTTAAAAGCATGCAATGACATCATCGTTTGATCATAGCCATAGCCAACAGCACTATTGCAGTGAAGATGTCTGCAGTAACGTTCTGGGAATAAATTAGTATTAGATAACAGCAGTTGAACTCTTCCAGATGGCTGCTTCTGAACAGATGCTTGCTTTTCGTTCAGTCATTAAACATGCATATAAGCGCATAGAAGCTGAATTATATTTAATGATAAAGTGGCATAATGAGCTCCCGCACGCATCACTCTCATTCCTATTGAAGCTTGCTCATTACCAAGGCATAACTTCTGAAAGGTGGCGAAGATATCGTATTATTAAGCAAATTGTTCTTATTTCCCTAGTTACAGGCAAGGCAAGGCAAGTTTATTTATATAGCACATTTCATACACAGTGGCAATTCAAAGTGCTTTACATAAACAAGAATAAAAGAAACAAGTTAAAAAAAATAATAATAAAAACAAATAATAAAGGTGATTAAAAAACATAAAAACAGGTAAAATGTGATATAAAAGAATGAAGAAGAAGAGAAAAACATAATAGTGCAATCTGTCGGACGCAGCACAGTGCTCATTCAGTAAAGGCACAGCTAAACAGATGAGTATTTAGTCTTATAGGTTGCAGCTGGAAAGGCATCTGCTGCATAAAACATATGCCAGATAAGTTGCCGATTCATTCCCCTGTGGCAACCTCAGATAAATGAGGGACTAAACCAAAGGAAAATGTTTGAATGAAAGTTCATCTGATTAGCCACATTCAAATGCAGATATACAGTACTACTAACCCTAAAAATGCATATAAACCTATAGAACGTTCGAGGTTACAGAAGTAACCCTTCGTTCCCCGAGGAGGGGAACGGAAGTGCCATGAATGGGAGGATTCGGATCAGAAGCCGCTTATCTGGAGAGTATTGAACGGGCCAATGAATGAAATTAATTGGCAGCGTAAGCTTGCGCAGGTGTGCGACATCTGCAATTATCTCAGCATATAAGCACACCTGAAGCCAGCAGACGCCATCCTTTTAAGCTGAAGAGACTTTCAAACAGCTAAGGGACAGTCATTATGGCGACGGAATATGGCACTTCCGTTCCCCT